CTCTTTAGCTAACAATGTGGTCTCAAGGAAGTTATTTAAATTTACTTCTGAACCTTGATTTCTCATTTGTAAAACCAAAGGAGCGAGGCCGATAATATTCATGGTTCTTTCTTCTTCTCATATTTCATAAATTTTATTGTGAGCTTTGATGAACAGCGAACATGCTCGGTAAGGGGGAAAATCTGTTTCTCTGAAAACGTACAAGATCTAATATAGTGGTACACAGACATGCTGTGGGTGTCCTGGGTTCAGTTCCCCGTAACAAACAACAAACCAACAAAGAAGTGCATGAAAGAATCATCTGGAAAACTGAGGGAAAACCTAAGTCCCAACAGGTTTCTTTGCTTTGAGTTACTTACTTGTAGTTAACTTAGAAAAAAAAAAATCACTGTTTCTGGAGGTCACAGAGCTGTCCAACACTAACTTGATGGCAGATAGTGCGCTGGACTATGATGGTAACCTTTGTCTGGGGTACGAGGCCGGGACTGCAAAACTACCTTTGTTGAAATCTTTAGCTCTTCACTTGCCTGTGAAGGTGTCTGGTGGGTGACTGAAAGTGTTCGTCACTTTTCTTGTTACCGTAGCAAAATATTGGACAACAGTAACTTCAGGAAGAAAGGGCGTTTTTTGGGGGGGCTCCCAGGTTGAGGATAGCTCATCCTGGAGGGTAGTGGGAGGCATGGATGTGGGAGCAGCTCTAGCTGTGGCAGCAGGAGCTGGGGCAGCTGTCCAGGGAAGAAGTTGAGGGAGCAATGTTGGTGCTCAGCATGCTGAGCCAGTAGGCGGTTGCTGCTGCTGGACTATAGCCCGGCTCTTTCTTAGTTTGAAACCGAGTCTGGTTAAGCCGCTCAGGCTGGCCTTTTACTCCCTTTGGAGCTCAGGCAGGCCTTGAACTTGTATTCTTCCTGCTTCAGCCTTCCAAGTAGCTGGAATTATGGGCTTGTGCCTGTTCCCCCCCCCACCCCCCCCACCCCCCCCACCCCCCCCCACCCCCCCCACCCCCCCCCACCCCCCCCCCCCCCACCCCCCGAGCTGTGGACCAAATCCAGGGTCTTGTGCTTGCTAGGCACAAGCACTCTACCACTGAGCTAAATCCCCAACCCCCGTGCCTGTTTGCTTAGGAGTACAAGAAAAGCTAGGTGGCACCAAATTTGTTTGACACTGGCAATCTGTCTAAGTCAGAAAAAGTGGCTGCTTTCCAACGGCTTAGTCATGCTTATGATGACAAGAAGTACTTCAGACTTTTATCTTCCCAAGGTATTGTTCTTCACGATGGCCTCTGCTGCAATAACTACTTGATGTTTTTAGATTTGGCAATGATCAGTCTTCTTCCCCAACCCCCACTTTGTCCCCCATCCTTAAACTCGCTTTTTTTGTTTGAATTCCATGACCAAAAAGTAGCAAGTGTCTGATGTAGAGAAGTGTTTTATTATTATATTATTACTTCTAGTTAAGTAAAATTGTGTCTGCCTGTGGGTATGTACACATGAATGTAGATGTTCTCAGAGGTCAGAGATGTTGAATTCCTTCAAGCTGGTGCTATAGAGGGTTGTGAGCCACCATATGGGTGATGGGAACTGTGCCATGGTCCTCTGGAAAAACAGTAAATATCCTTAAACCACTGAGCCATCTCTCAAACCTCTGTTTAATAAAAAAAAAAAAAAATTAAAATAAAAATGTTGTTTGTACGTTTTTTTTTTTTTGTAAAAAATAATTCCAAAGAGCAATTCCTAAACTAATAAGTATCCTCTCATTCCCTGTGCAGTTATTTTCATTATGATAAGAACTTGCTAGCTGGGCGGTGGTGGCGCATGCCTTTAATCCCAGCACTTGGGAGGCAGAGGCAGGCGGATCTTTGTGAGTTTGAGGTCAGCCTGTCTACAGAGTGAGATCCAGGAAAGGCGCAAAGTTACACAGAGAAACTCTGTCTCAAAAAACCAAAAAAAAAAAAAAGAACTTGCTTAGGCATTTGGGAAATTGTGCTTCTGTTAGACATTCCAATCCCCAAGCCAGTCTTTCAGTGGAATTTTTTTTTTTTTTTTTTTTTTTTTTTTGGTTTTTTTGAGACAGGGTTTCTCTGTGTAGCTTTGCGCCTTTCCTGGAACTCACTTGGTAGCCCAGGCTGGCCTCGAACTCACAGAGATCCGCCCTGGCTCTGCCTCCCGGAGTGCTGGGATTAAAGGCGTGCGCCACCACCTGCCCGGCGGAATTTTTAATCATAGTAAAAGCAAGACACCTTAGAGGGGGCGGGAGGGGGGAGAGCAAGGGAATCCACAGCTGATATGTAAAATTAAATTAAATTATAAAGTAAAAAAAAATAAAAAATAAATTAAAAAAAAACAAACCAAGACACCTGGGCAGACACAGGAAGTCGAACAAATGCCGAATCCGGTACCCTTAAAACGGGTTTAAAGCATTACATATTCCCTTGAGAAGGGGAATGAATGAATATGACTTTACTCCTCCTAGAAAGTATTGATTGGAGCTGGGTGTGGTGGCACACACTAATCTCGAATTTAGAGGCAGAGGCAGTCAGACCTCTGTGAGTTGGAGGTCAGCCTGGATGAACTTCATAATGAGTTCCAGGACAGCCAGAACTGTAAAGAGACCCAGTCTCAAACACAAACAAACACACAAACAAATAAGCAAACAAACAAACACTGATGTAATAAGTAAAGAATACTCTTTGATTTTACAAGTTTCTGTGAGATTTTAAAGTAGTTATCTTAAACCTGTACATTTTGAGATTATCTGGTCTTTGCTTAAAAAAATGACAGTTTTCTCCCCCCTCCCCCACCTGTCCCCCCCCCTTTTTTTTGTTTCAGATATGCCTCATTGTAGCTCTGGCTGTCCAGGAACTTGCTGTGTAGTAGGCCATGCTGATCTTGAACTCATAGCCTTCCTCTGTCTCTACCTGCAGAGTGCTGGGATCAAAGCTGTGTGGACAGTTTTGTTTGTTTTTTAACATGCTCTAAGTTAGTTGGGGCCTGAACTGTTAGAAGCAAGCCATGGTTTTTAATTCATGAAAACAGCTGCTGTAGAACATTTCCCTCTTGAATTGTATTCCTTTTATTCAAAGCGCTGGTTGGGATGAGAGATGCATATGAAGAAGGCTGAAATGCAGTGGTTTTGACAAAGAGAACTCAATAAAATGTGGGCTGTTCAGGATCGCTTCCTGGCTCTTTACCCTGCTCTCGCTCACACACATCTTTTTTTCCCTTGGGCTCTTGGAATCCCACTGGATGCTTACTATCCTGATCTTTATCGTTTGGGGGGCTGTATTTGTCAATGCCACCCAGTGCTTCTGATTTTTCTCTACTCCCCTCTCATGTGAGTTAGGCCCAGGGCCTGAGGAGTGCTCCAGGGTTTCTTACAGGCTGGTGGGTGGAGTAGTTAGTTAACAAGAAGGCGAGGCCTTGAGGACATAGTATGGTCTGGAACAAACTGTTCAACCCAAGCATTCATTTACAATCAACAAACAATTAAATATCTATTATAGGACATCAGCGTGTGAAGGGGTCCCAAAACAGCTGGACCACACAGCAGCCATGACAGGCTTAGGGGCCTAGACACAGCTTCTGTGACAGGCTTACTGGCAGGCAACACCCAGATCCAGGAAAAGCCTTAAGCTGATACCACTCAGAGATCTACCCAGGGATGAGGAAGCACCTGACATCCCAAACATTCCAACCATTAGATAAGGTGGCCAGATGTCCTTAAGTCTAGCACATACCTATTTTTTGTTTTACAGATACCCCTAGACAATTGTCAGCCAATCAGGGTCCTGGACCCTGGAAATCTCCTCACCCCCAACCTCTGCTATGATAAAAAACTCTGTCCCACCTGAGCTCAGGGCTTCTCTGCTCTCACTGCTGTGTCTGTCGGACAGACAGAGGGGCCAAGCCCCAGAGCTTGAGTAAAGGCTCTTTGCTTTTACATACGGGATTCAGTCTCTGTGGTGGTCTTTTGGGGGTATCCGCGATCTGGGCATAACAAGAGCACAAAAGTGAATGATGGGATAGTTTCCATTTCCAAAAACTGAACTCTTTCTAGGTGAATTAGTGGGGAGAAAAGCCAGCATGGAAGAAGCCTGATTTCAACCTAGCTCTGCCGAGAAACACATTGAATGTCTCGGGATCTGAAAAACAACCCTCCTACCCTCTAAGCCATTCGTTTACTATAAGGGTTCTCAAACTAGAACAATCGAGAACTGAGCTATTGAACACTGGCTCTGAACCCTTAGGGTGAATCCTAAGGGTGTGTTAGGGCTGGAGCTCAGCCTCAGGTAGTCTCCAGGGCAGATTTTGCGGCTCTGTCAAGTTCTCAGGTGATGCTGTACTGAGGCAACAGAGCTGTACTGTGAAAGGCATATTTTTAAATGCTAAGGAGTTTCAGGCTCCAACTCCAAACTCATCCAGTGGCAGAGAGGGATGGAAGCTTGGCATTGATAGTTCGTAGCCCTCATATTTTAACATGTCCGAGGTGAAGAACCAGTTGTTTGTCGTTACAGACTGTGGTGAGCGCCCGGAAGTTACTGAGTCTGTGACCCCACACATTTGAGGAATTCTGCAGTATTTAAGAATACTAAATAAAGACCTGTCTGTCTTTGCCCACGGCTTTAAGCCCGGCACTTGGGGAGGCAGAGGCAGGCAGAGTTCCCGGCCACCCTAGTCTACAGAATGAGTTCCAGGACAGCCTGGAAATCTTGCCTTGAAAAACCAAATATATATATAATACATATATATGTATAACATAATATTAGTAATTGATTACTAAACACTGCTACAATTTCCTTCAAACTAATTTGGCTGCTTTATCTGAGGAGCTTTTCGGATCAGTCCCTGCATATTTTCCAGGACCACGGTGTGTGGGAACACTGTTGTGTCTCAGGACAAAGTGGTGTCTTTTGGAACCCAACCCAAGTCGTCTTTGGGTGGTCCCCTTGGGTTTGCCTAACCCTTGTAGTTGCAACAAGTGAGCTGGGCATGCTCAGTGGGCAGGGTCGGGTTGGGAGGGGGTGCAAGTGGGAAGCCTGTGGCTCGGCAGCCAGGGCTCTCCGCCTCCCCCCACCTGTACGAGGCTGGGCCCCCGCTGGGTCAGTGCTCAGCATCCCACCCCTGCTGACTGGGCTGGGTCTTCTCCGCGGGTCACCGCATTAGCATTCAGTCCTAGGGTCGAGGCCTGGAGCGCCCGAAGAACGCGCTGGGGTAGCCAGCCGAGAGTTGCAGGCCCAGTCCCCAGGGTCCCCCGACTCCTAGACGCCTTTCTAGGCCTAGGGTAGCCTGGCGACTGGAAGGTGCAGAGGCGGGGGAGGAGGGGGACGCCGGATCTGGGGACGCGCGACGCGTGATCAGGTAAGGCAACCCCGGCGGGCAGCAGGCGGGCGAACGCCCTCCTCCCGGGCAGATGGCGGGGGGTGGGGTGGGGGGGGGTGGTTGGAGGCGGGGGCCGGCGTGGGGAGGGACAGGAACCCGACACCCCGCCGGCTTCCCGGGCCTAGCTCAGCCTTCTCGTCTTCCCTCCAGTTGGCGAGGAGTGGCTGGCCATGGAGTCCCTCTCCTCCGGGGCGCAGGGCAGCCTCGATCACCCGGGGCAGGGCCAGCTCACGTCCCCGCGAGGCCCAGAGCCCGGGTCTGCAGCCGCCCTTCCCCGCCCGCGGCCCGCACAGCCGGCTGCACTTCCGCGTTTCCCCCGCCGGGCCGAGGAGCCGGGGCGGCGGTGTCGCGGCGCACGCGGTGGCGGTGCCGCCGGGTCGTCCCCCGGGGAGGCGGAGGCGCACGAGGGGGAGGAGGAAGTAGCCGGGAGGGGCGTCGGCGGGCGGGGTCGGATTACCGTGGCCCCGCCTGACCCGGTGACATCCCGGCGCGCTCGCCGCGAGCCCAGGGCCACTCTGGGTCTCAGCGAGGCCGACTCCGCCCTGGCTGGAGGATCCCGGCGCCCCTGCCCGCCGTCCCCTCGCGCGTGAGGACTGATCTCAGGTGTGTGAGCCCTGGCGACCTGCTCCTCCGCTCGGGCTTCTAGGGGAAGTGGTCCCTCTCTGACCTCCCTGACTCTGTGGGGCTGAGGTGTGGCGGCGGCGGAGGTGGAGGTGGTGGTGGTGGTGGCGGCGGCGGCGGGAAACTGGGGGAAGATTGAGCATTGGTTCCCACCAACGGAAGAGCAGCACAGTTCTCATTCAGGGCTAGACACTGGTAACGCACTTTACCTAGCCAGAGGAAGGGCGTCTGCACATCAGTGAAACTTTATGCAAACTTTTAACTTGTGACTGTGGCTAGCGTGGCGAGGAAGGTTGCTGCTTCCTTCGGTGGTGAGGGTCGGAGACGCTTCTGGAAGAGGGAGGAGGCTTTCTTGAGAAACTCACTTGCCGGGGTGTGACTGGCTTAGGAGGAAATGCCAAGTGTACACCGGCAACAGCCACCACCTCTCACAAAGCAACTGTTTCTAGCTAAAGAAAGTTTGCTGAGTGCAGTGGCTGTCAGGGTCTTAGCTGATGGCGGTCCCTAGACCACCCCTTCACCTCGAGCGAAGATACGTGTACTCCTGAAACAGCCCGCCTTCCTCAGCCAACACAAGTTCTCACAAAATCTCTGTGACAGGGTCCTCCAGGTGACACAACCCCAGGAGGTTGCTACAGAAACAACCAGCAGCTACATTTGTCAACTTGGACAAATAGGTGGAGAAGGAAGTTGGTAAATTAATGTCCTCTTTGCTTAAAACAAGACATTGTATATTTTGCATATATTCCAAAGTTTGTAGAGTCTTGGAGTTTCCTTTTTGAAGGTGGAAAGTACTGGCGATGGTCACTCTGGGACCAGAGACTTCTTAGTAGTTATTGATTAGCATATGAGGCCTGGATGCCATTGCCCAATGGATAGCCTGTGCTGTCTCTGGGGCCTTAACGATGAGTATGTTGAAACCTCCCCATGTTTCTCGTAGGGACATTAGTCAAATGACCACACTTCCTTTATTTTTAGCAATTTAACCCTTCACCCCAGTGAATAATGGATAAGAGACAGGATTTGAGATGAGAGACAGCATAGTCAGAACTGCATTCTGAGAGATCACATGGACATTTTCTAAGTCATTCTAGGCAGCAAGGGGAGGCAATTGCATGGTTTTCTGTTAAAGAGCGGGACAGAGTTGGCAGTTCCCAGTGGATGTTGTGTTTTCCTTCTGAGTTCTTGTAACTAATATCATTTATAGGCATTCAAAAAGATATAATGACCACTGTAGGTAAATCACGTTGGCAAACTGATATAGTTCTTATCCTGTGTGGTTATGTATGCTCTGTCCAGCTCCAGGAGGTAAGTTTTGACTTGGGTATGGTGTGTCTTACACACTTTTAGATCTCTAGCCCCTGGAATGGTGACTGACTTCTAATGAGCTCCCACAAATGCTTTCTCAAGCATAGACTAAATTGGAACAATGTATCTGAATCTAAGAAACAGAAGGCTTTGGCCTTAGGGAACATATTCAAAGTCACTAAGTCTCACAGGCAAAATATGCGTAATAATACATAGCAGGTCTACAAGAACTAAGAATAGGCCCCAGAGGCAATCAATTCTAAAATGTTAGTGTCCTTCCTCCTATTTTCTATTTGTATTGAAAAAGTAAATTTTGGGAGAAGATTGCAAGAATGCAGCTAGGCGGGTTGTTTAGGTTTTGTTTTTTTTTTTTTTGTTTTTTGTTTTTTTGAGACGGGGTTTCTCTGTGTAACTTTGCGCCTTTCCTGGAACTTGCTTTGGAGACCATGCTGGCCTCGAACTCACAGAGATCCGCCTGCCTCTGCCTCCCGAGTGCTGGGATTAAATGCGTGCGCCGCCACCACCACCCGGGTAGTTCTTATATGTTAAGCATAAATTATCCAAGGTTTTCCCCCTTAGTTGGAGCATCAGGAGGAGGGCTAGTGGCAGCTGTGGTTATTGGCAGAGGAAACAGTGTCCATACCATCATCTAATTTCTTTTTTTTTAGTTTTGGGACATGTGGATGTTTTCTGAAACTTGATGATTCTTTCTGCTTAATGCATGGACTCCAAGGTCCATGTGCAGAAACAATACTTCAGAAAGCACCAGAAATAACATAGATGTTAGATTTGGCTTCTTAAAGGAAGTTTTATGTAGTTGTGTGTGTGGTTATGCAGCAATAAACAGTAGATGAAGCAAAGTTACTGTTAGTCATTTTTGATAAATGTATGGAGTTTGTTTAATGGGATAAAACAAGTATTCAGGTGCTACCTGACATCATTTTAATCGGCTACCTATATACCTATGGTCCCACAAAAATCTAGCCTAGTGAGGTGGAAGCCATTTAAGTTTATGTAAACTCGATGATGTTTCTCAGAATGTTAGAACACCTAATGAGAAATTTCTCAGAAGTTATTCCTGACCTTACGGATGATGTAGATGGCTCAATTCTTTGGAGACAAGTTGATGTTGAGGAGAGTACCATTGGTAACAGGCTTAAAACTGCCTAAAGACAAAAAAGAAGATCACAATTCTAGGAGGTAGGATTGGTCCAGAAGTCTGGACTGAGTACACTTTTGTACATTCATAAGATTACTAATGAGTCTGTAGATAGCTTCAGGGATGGGAGCTGGGTGCCTGAGGCTTCCTGCTGAGACCAGAGTTCATACTTCCGCCCCACATTGCCTCCTGGGGAGGAGAAAGAGGCCGGAGAAAATCATGAACAGCCAGTGATTCTATTGTCCTGCCTACATAATGGAGCCCTCATAAGTCACTAAATCACTGGGTTTGGATAACCCAAGTTTCTGAATATTTGAAGTGTGGGAACACCTGAGAGAGCTGAGAGAGAGGGAAACTCCTTGGTGTAGATGGAGTTTTCCTGGTCCTGTGAGGACAAATCTCTCTCACCCGCCAGTCCTGCAGCTGCTCAGACACAACCAAGTAAACACACAGAGACTTATATTGCTTATAAACTGTATGGCCATGGCAGACTTCTTGCTATCTGTTCTTTTTTTTTTTTTAATATTTTTTTAAGATTTATTTATTATGTATACAATGTTCTGCCTGCGTGTATGCCTGCAAGCCAGAAGAGGACACCAGATCTCATTATTGATGGTTGTGAGCCACCATATGGTTGCTGGGAATTGAACTCAGGACCTCTGAAAGAGTAGTCAATGCTCTTAACCTCTGAGCCATCTCTCCAGCCCGCTATCTGTTCTTATATCTTAAATCAACTCATTTCTATTAATCTATAAGTTGCCACGTGGCTAGTGGCTTACCGGTATCTTAACATCTTCTCATGGCGGAGGCTGGCAGCATCTCTCTGCCTCAGCCTTCCACTTCCCAGAATTCTCTTTTCTGCTTGTCCCGTCTATACTTCCTGCCTGGCTACTAGCCAATCAGCATTTTATTTATACAGAGCGATATCCACAGCACCTTGGTCCTGTTCCCATGCTGCACCATGCACTTTTTTATTCCCTGTTCCCCTCTCTCCTCTCTAATTTTTTTTTTTTTAATTATTAAGAGGAGTCTCACAATTGTAGCCTCGGCTTGCCTGAAACTTGCTATGTAGATCGAGCTGGTCTGGATTTACAGAGATCTGCCTGCCTCTGCTGGGTTCAAAGGCATGCAACACCATGCTCAGCTCATTTTCGTTCTTTACACTATCTTTACACTAGGCTCATAAATGCGTTTCCCTGTATCTTATTATAACCTGTTACTAAATCTGAGAAGGGTTGGGGATCCTAGATTGGTAGACTAGTTGGCAGAAGTGTTGGTACCCTGGGAAACCAGTTTTGTGGCCACTGTCTGAAGTGCTTTTGTGTGCATTGGGAGGAGGGGCGCAGTTTGTGGAAATGAACCCTTAACCTATGAGGACTGTGCTATGCAGGTAGTTAATCAGAGTTTGAGTTAAATTTTAGATCTTGTTAGTTGATATTCTTGGGGAACTGGAAGAGATATTCATGTAAAAAACCTACACACTTGGTGTCAGAAGTGCTGTGAGTACAGGGGGCAGGGTTCTTGTCCATCTGTAGTAATAATTTTACATTACTTGGAGCATCTTTTAGTTATTCAGGCAAACTTAAACACTAACTTATTGCTGAACAGTGAGATACTGTAATGGTGTGGGTGCTTTTCAAGCGATGACTTTATACTTTTCAAGCTTTCTATCCTTCAGATAGTGATGTCTTTTGGGACCCTTATCTTTGACTGACCACGTTTGTAATTTTACGACTGCTTTTAGTTGGCAGAGAAAGGAGACCTCAAAACTGTAACAGAGAAGCTCGTTTCTGAAAATGAAATGTATGGAAGCGGGTGCTGTTGGACAAGGTTGCCTCTGCATAAGGCTTGGTGACAGTGGAGAGACCTGTGCATTACAACTGAAATTAGT